TTGGTTATGTCGTCTGTAGCAGTTAAATGTTAGAGCTAATGTGTAGCATAAAATCTGCAGAGAAATGTACACACTAATTGAAATGTGAACAAGTTCTGGTTCTTGTTGGCTTCTCTCATGTCACTCCAGAATGATTCCCAGATTTTTTTTTTTCCATTGATCTTTCAATAGTGATATTTTGGGTATGGGCTTCATTAGAGGCAGCCACATGCTCAGTGCCATGGGATGCCCATTAGCTTTGATCAGCTGCAAACTGCTGCCCAAATCCTCTGTCCTGGGGCCTGCTTAGAAAGTTTCATCTCCTCTCACAGGCCAATTTGCCTTAAGTGGCTCCAATCAAATTTCCAGTCCAGTTGGCATTTTGATGGGTTTCCTCCTGGTTCAAATTGCTTTTTCTGGCCTTTAAGGTACCTTGAAGAATCCTCCTTATAGGGCTCAGATGAATTCTCCAGGAGACTCTCTCGCAAGAATGCATGGGCAGGATGAATTATAGAATTTCCCTATAGCAGGTGATGGAAATGAAAACAACAGAGGAGGCGTGTAGAAGAATTTATTATTTTAGATTGACTCCTTGCCAATGGAGTGTGTCCATACTCTTAAAAGTGCTCTAGACCAACCACTAGGAGTTTTCAAAGTAACAGAGATGTTCAGTGTTTCCAACTGATAAGAAATAAGATACAAATGACAACTGATTCCTAATCATTGGAAAATTTCAAACATTTTTTTTTTCTGGAAGAAGCTGAAGCAGATACATGCATCATATCAGCAGTGGATGACTGGAGAAATTAGCAATGTATTTTCGAGCTTGAAATCTGGAATCATTCTGAATTGTTGAGGGAGATGATGGCTTGAAATGAAACAAGTCTCAAATCTCACAGACTGGATGAAAAGAGGAGTTTGTGCTATTCAGGAAAAGAACGAAGAAATACTGCCTGAATCCCTGGAAAGATAAATGGGAGAGGGAGGAGAGCATACCTAATAGTGACAAGGCAGCTAAGGGAGAGAAATTCATGAAAGGTGACTATTATCTTGGCATGTATTTCCAAGGATAAATGCACACAGAAGTGCAGAGGCTTACTGTGTAAGCCAGCAAAATAGGATTACGGGGCTTGTGTAATTCCTAAACCTCCATCCTGAACAGTGGCAAATGTAATCAAAGGAGGCTCCAAGGAGGAGGTTGGAAAATTAAAAGAACTAGATAGATTTTTTTATTAGTTATGTTTTTGATGAACCAATGTACGTGGTCAAAGATGCAGCACCTAGAAAGCAATTAGAAATAATTACAAGATTTAAAGTATGCATTCATAGTTACTCACAAATTTCACAAAACTTCAAGTTACTTCTGTGATTCACTGAGTAGCTACGAATGCAAGAAACCAGAGTAGTTTGAGGAGCTCATCAATGTTCTAAATTTCCTGCTTTAACTTGATGATAAGCCTGTATCAAAATTAGCTTAGGCATCACAGGAAAGCATATGTGCAATTGAGGAACGCGTAAGCAATCCGGATAGCAAAGGTGATAAATATGGAAGTGAGAAAATGTACTAGGTGACCTTCTGTAAACTTGGTGAACAGAAGGGATGAGTTAGTTGCATCATGGATTTTGCACAGACAGCTTAAGAAATGCAGAAGGAAAATGCCATTTAGAGGCCAGTTGAAAGAAAAAGAATTAAGAAAAGATTGTAAAAGAGAAGTGATGGTCAAACAAGCTATTGGTAACTCAGTGAGCAAATACATGTGGGCTCCTGAAGGATTCCTTTTGCCAGATGAACATGGAAAATGCCATTTGCTTACAGCATGGTAAGTGATAGTACAAGGAATATTTGTATTATCATAGCACCTGTGTAAATTAGCAGTAGAGATGTAGACATACCATACTAATAATTATTAAAACATTGTACTGATGCCTGTTATGTAACATTTGATCATTTCCTGTATACAAATAGATCAACATTAGTTGAACTCCCCGCCTGTACAGGTTTTGTGGACTCCTCTCTCTTCTTCTTATCAAACTGTGCTTTGAACAGCCTTTGTTTTAGGCTTTGGGGGCATGTGGATGTTTGGCAAGAGGAAATGGTTGATGTAATTCAGCTGTAGATGAAATGCTACATAGGCAATAGCTGTCAAACCGTGGAACAACCAATCATCAGGTAATCTCTTGGTGACTCAGCCTGTGGAAGCAAAGGATGAAACGTGATGTTTCCCCAGAGAGATACCAATCACAAACTCATCATGAAATCCTGGGAAGCATCCAGCTAAGCAGAAATTACATCTTTGCTGGGCTTTCTAATTACTAAAATTCTAATCCAGATGTTCCTGTTGCTGAAATATCTTTATTTTTGAGGGAAAATAAAGATGTAAGCAACACTGTCATGGGATGTCTATGGGCTGTGACAGCTGCTGGCAGTAGGCAAGAAAAACATTCATTTCAACATTGACTAGGATATAAGCCCCTCTTTGATTTAGCTGATCACTGTGTAGGCAGAACTCTGATATTTGGAGGCTTTATAACCTTGGTGACAAAGTGGTAGCAAAATCTATTAGTATTTAGGGAAATTAAATTAATTGGGTATAATTTTCTAATTGCAGTGTGGTGATTATTCTGTATATGCAGACACAATTTATGCTTTGCACAAACTTGCCTCTTGAAATATATATATGCTCTCCCACAACGTTTCTGCCTTTGAGAAATGATCTCCAGCTCCTGTATGAAGAGACGTGGGAGAGCCTGGGCTGTGTGGTCGGAGCAATCTCTCCCAGCCCTGCAACGTGCGAGTCCCTCTGTGCATCTTTTCTCAAGGCCTGATGGAAAAGAGTTGATGTTCTTGCTTTTGGCCTGGGCTTATGATGATGCAGCACTGCACTGCAATAATTTCAACTGTCAGGGCTGGTGGTGGGATCAAGAAATTTCCTTCCTGATTTCACAGTAGGCTCCATGTATTTCTTGTTTTTTTTTTTTTCTTTTTTTTTTCTCTAAAGATAAGTTTCTCTGAAGAATTAGAAATTTGGTGAAATTGGATTCAATGGACTATGCTCTGAAGTAGTAGAGGGTACTAGAGGTTTTTTTTTTTTGTTTTGATTTTTAGGTCTCTTATAGTCTTATTGACATACCAATAGTATTTTGGCTTCAGAGGAGGGTTTTATTCCAGGGCAGAATGGTAGCAGCCTTCCTGGCTTTTGCCTTTCCTGTGAACAGGCAGAGTTTGCCTGCTGGAAACACATAAGGGAGTGGTGCATTATCAGTCCATTGCCACTGTGTTGTCCTTGGGCACTGCTGTACCTTGTTTTTCCTGTTAAATTGTTTGAAGCTTGAAATGGTTTTGTTTGAGGGCTCAGTATCTGAGTATTGCAGTTTGGTGTACTGGCCTGTGATGTAGGTGACTGGATGATCACACAGTTACAGAATGGTTGAGGTTGGCAGGGACCTCTGGAGATCATCTAGTCCACCCTGCCCCTGCTCGGGCAGGATCACCTAGAACGCTTTGCCCAGGATTGTCTCTAGATGGGTTTTGGTCCTGACTTTTTTAACATGTTCAGAGAGAACTTCCTGTGTTTTGATTTGCACCTCTCACATCTTGTCTTATTACTGGGCACCACTGAAAAGAATCTGGTCCCATCCTCTTTACAACCTCCCTTTACATATACACACTGATAAAATCTCTGCTCAGTCTTTTCTTCACTGTGTTGAGTCATCCCAGGTCTCTCAGCTTTTCATGTGCCAGGTGCTCCAATTCTTTCTTCTCCAGGACCAGGGATTTTAGTCTGTTTAAACAGAATAGATAAAAATGTCCGTGAATAAATTGTGAAAATTGTGTATTGTGAAAAAGAACACATCGAAATTGTTGTCCAAATCAACAATTAACAAATCAGGCCTATAACATGTAATCTAGAATTTGAAGATGGTAACCTACTTCTGCTTTTTCATGATTATCTTTACGTGTTGAACCTTGACTGTGTCCTAAGCCACAGAGAGAGATGTCAGATTTTCCAAACTTAGCATTTATATGTCTCAGCCTTTATATTTTGCATGATGTAATTACAGTAACAGACCCTTTTAGGGGAAAAAAAAGTTGCTATGAAGGTATGTTGTGTAACCCTTTAATCCCATTTGATCCCAAATGAGAACTATGGTTATAGTGGGAACTATAGTTGGGACTTTTCTGGGAATTCCAGTTACAGAACTACAGAATAGGGAGCACCCAGGAGGAGCTTTTCAGCACAGTGCTGTAACACGTGGTCCTGCCAGCATGTAGGACTGGCCTGTGGTGAGGTGGTGGGGTAACATCAGGCCCTGTTAAGCTCTTGTCATGTGAACACTGCATGTCTGATGACGTGAACGGGAGTTTCTGCTGGAGGGGGGAAAATTTGCTGAAAATCCATTCTGCACATTAAAATTCAAAAGTTTTCATGTACTTTACTCATAATGGTAAGCAACTTGGAATTAAGATACATGTTGGAATTGAATACGCGTGTGGGGTAGTGAAACCTCAAAGGGCTACAATATCAAATATTGAATATGCAGCTTCAGAAATTACCTTTCATCAAACAACATTCATCAAGAAACTGCTTTTCCATGAACCTGTCGCTCACACTGCTCTCACGTCTCCATTTTTCTCTTCACCTCTGAGCTTTCCATTCGAGCTGCTTCGAGTGGCTGCCTTCCACAAAACCTCTTCTAGTCCGAGCCTATTTCTGCACTTCATCCTTTCCAGGCTGGCAGTCCTGTCTTCCTAGTTGTAACCTGAGACACATCGGGTTAGTCCTCTCAGTAGCTCTCAGTACTCTGTACTGCTGCACCATCCTTCACCTTTTATTTACGTGTGCTTTTGTAGTTCTTTCATCTTTTATTTCTTCTCTGAATATTTTTCCTGTGATATCCAGGCTCCTGCAGCTGGGTTTGGAATATTCGTGCAGCTGAATTGATCTTTTTATAAGTTTTTTGAACGGAGTATCCACACTTTCTGACAAAATCATTGCGATATTTTTTATTTCCTCCTGCAGCGGTGTGCATATTTGAAGGCAGAACCTACTTTGAAGGACAAAGAGAAACTGTGTATTCAAACTCAGGGGACTGTGTTCTGTTTGAGTGCAAGGTAAGAACACTGTGGCTGGAAAATCTTCTTGTTGCATGTTCAGAAATATCAAAGTCTCATTGAATGAAGCTGTAGAAATGCTGGGAAAGGTGCCTTGGGAAGCGGCAGCAGCCAAGGCACTCGAGAGTCTTGTGTTTGTTTTGTCTTGCTAAGTTCCACAGGAAGTTTTGCAAATAAGTTTATTTTCATATTTGCCAGCCTTGATTATGCAGTCTGACAGCTGAGCTGTATTTTCTCCTCCTTATACTTTGTGACTGTCATCAGTAATGAAGAGCACCCAGCCTGCATCACCTTTCCCTTTGCACGTGTGCAGCGCTCTTCAAAATTAGGTGCTCAGTTACAAAGGATGCACAAATGTAATGGGAGCATAATTTGCAATAATTGTTAGTGGCGGTGCTACACGGAAAGGAAGGAAGAGGGCTGGCACAGCAGGTGTCTGAGCACGTTTCTGGTGTTGGAAATCGAGCGGAGTCACTGGTTTCGGCTCAGAGCGCAGGCGGTGTTGGGGCAGCCGCCCTGGCCGCGTTAGCAGCGCTGCCCTCAGAGCAAAGCGCAGCTTAAGGGCCAGGCCGGGCCTGGCGCAGAGCGTGGCGCAGGCCCTGCCTCCCCTCGCAGGCTCCATCGCTCCTGGGGTGGGCCCAAAGGGACACGTTTCTGGGGCACAGAAATGCGGGGTGCGGGGGCAAAGCCCACGCGTGTTCTGTGGCTGCCGTGCACCCCCAGGAGTGGGGCTGCCATAGGAAATCCTGACTGTCACACCCAGGGTAACTACCTGGAGCAAAAGCCTTCCCGACTCTGAAGGCCAGAAAGCTGTGTCAGATTTTACCTTGACTTCAGGGCCAGCGCTTCTCTTTCAGGCTTCCTAAAATATCTTTCCCTTCTCAGAATAACATATTGTGCCTTTCCCATCTGGTCCCGGGAAGGAAGTGGGTCAGAGTTACCTGCCAGGCTATTCCTTTCTGGAGATTTACAAAGCGTATTTACACATCTCTGAAAAAATGTATTTTACAAATTAGAGCTGTTGACCGTTGTCTTCCTGCTGTTGGTTTTTAATCTTTCTGAGCTGGATTCTCTGAGTAGGTGCTTTGAAATCCATTTGAAAAAGGAGGTAAGAAGCAGATCTGAAATAATTTGGGCAACACTTGATTCAGTTGTACATTTTCAACATGACACTTGGGACAGAAATGCCGTGATAATGGAAAATATATTTATATACATATAATTAAGAATTATAAAAAGTTACATGTTATTGCCCTGTGTTTCCTACTGCTGCTTCCTATGATATTGACTGAAGACAAGCCTTTGGCTGTGCTGCTGTGTACTTTTTGGGTTGTGCTTGCTTGGCTGGAGGGCTGCCTGATTGTAGTGGTAGAAATAGTAGGCACGAATTTGGGCTGATTCAAATTCTGCTTTTCAAGAACTGAAATACATACAGTTTCTAATGAGCAGCCTTAGGAATGATGTTTCAGAGGAGAAACACACCTGTACTGTGAACTGTGTGAGTCAGGTAGAAACCTGTACGTGGGCAGTGTATGTGTCATTACCCCCACAGTCTTCATAGAAGGTGTAATTAATGACTCTTCTCCAGAGAGACTTGATGGGAATGGCACAAGTATAGATTGGAAGCTTAAAGGCTACAGGGATGTTAGCAAAGCAGCACAGAGCATTTCTGGTTTTGCTTTCAAGTATATGTAATCCAAAACATTGCTTTTATTTTTCCTTTTTTGACTGCTGCAGTTGCATCCCATTTAGCTGTGTATCCTTCTGTTTAAATATTATAAAAGAAGTGAAAGAAAATATCTCTTTTAAATTAGTTTGTATAATTAAATACAGTCTTGAGTGCTCTAATTGATATAATTTCTGTTGAAGGGTTTGTTGTCTTTGGCTGGAGAGGCTGCTGGGTTTGGGGTGTTTTGGTATACAAACATATATTGATGACTGGTTTGTTTTCCCGTGTGTTCAGGTTAGGCTTGGGCTGAATTCGGTTTGAAGTTGGTCTGAGGTAAAGTCTGAGCAGTAATCTCAGTGTCGGCCATTGCACTTGTCATGTATCATCTTTAGCCCTGGGGAACCAAAATGCTGCACATTTGTGGTAACTCGATGTTTAAATATGGGGAAATATGTGATGATTTTATTGTGCTGAGTTTTCCTTTCCCACAGCTCCCAAAGGCACCTGGTCTTTGGCAGAGGCAACTTGTTGTTTGTAAACCGTAAAGCTAAAACCCACATCAAATTAAAGCATCATTCAACTTCTTTTATTCTCCCAGAATATTAATGAATTACCTCAATTTAACAGGGCCACAAAATGCAGCGTATTCCAAAGGACAGTTGTCCAACTTTGAATTGCCCGGAATCGCAACAGATCCCCTTATCTCACAGTTGCTGCAAAATTTGTAAAGGTAAGATAATAGCAGGATCCATGTAAACTTAGTGTCCTTTTTATTCTTAAAGGTCATATGGACTTTTTTCTCTGGACATTTGGAATAAGGTTCACCTAAGCATTATAATCACCACAGACGGTGTATAGCTGAGTATGTAAAGTCTGTATCATGACATCTGAAATTTGTTAATAAAATGTCACATAGTGTAAATTCTGTGAAACATGTTTGTTGGCATTTGTGTTTTTCAGTCTAGGCAAACATGGGTGGAATCCAAAGAACCCTGATATACAATTAGTGATTTTATAGCCTTCCTCCTTTCCAGTGGCCAAACAAATCGAGACTAGAGAAATGTCAGTGTTCCCTAGCATCTTTGATATCTCTTTCTGAAAACAATTTTTTTGTGCAGTTATTCATAGGGGGCTGTAAATGGATGTTGTTTAATTGTTTGTGGTTCTACCTTGTACCTAGAAGTGCAAGATTTGGGAAATACTTTTGTATGCTGTGTACCCCTGCTACACCCCAACAGATCCTAACCAAGGAGGAGAGATTCAGGCAATGCTCTGTGTCTTCAGCCTGCTCTCCTGATCTGGACTAATATCATTACCTTGAAAGCTATGAGCAATTGCACCTTCAAGAGGCTACATCTGTTTCTGCTGTAGTTAAATCATGATAAATAGATACCTGGTATGAAATAAGACATCAAGCTCTTGGGTTGGCTTTAGATACACTTCAGTGAAGTGTGCAGCTATACTGGTTTTGGTGCTACTAGATTAATGACATCAAGCAAAGAGATAAGATGGAAGAAAAGAACTCAAAAGTCGATAAGTCCTGAAATCTATCACAGTCAAAAGGGATTTTCTTGGTGGTAATTTTCTATAAACTCTTTAGTGCCTTAAAGAAAAGAATTCCATGTTTGTTCTGCCTGGTGTAGCTTGAAAGTTTTAATGTATGTCAGATTAGTGCATTCTGAACCACGCTAGCTTTGATTCTCATGAGCTATAGGTTTTATTCTTTAATCAAAAAGCAGTTGTACACTATTCAGCAATATGTATTTCGTTGATTAGTATGGATGATAGGTGAGTGTAAAGAATATTAAAACCCATGCCATTACTTGTGTAAAATGTACATTCATAAATGTGCAATATTCCGTAGTTACGGCAGATTATAATATTCAGGTGTTCAAGTCCACATTCCTCAGTTCCTCTACAGGACCTTTTAGTCACCAAAATACTTTCTGGAAAGGAACCCTGAAAGACTGCTGATTCACCAATTCTTACATCTCAGTTAAAGAAGAAAAAGTCACTGAGAAACCGTGAAGGAGAGCAGCTTCACATGTTACTAAGTGGTTTACTGTAACCAGCTTGAATTCACCTAATGAAGGAGGATTTTGAGGTATTCATCAATATAGCAGCATAGGATTTCATAAGAAATGAGGAATTAAGGAATTTTAAAAATTTACTGTGTTGAAAAAATCACTTTAAAAATTCTAGTCTGGAAAAAGGAGTTCAGAATCTCAAAAATTTGCAATTAAGGTACAATGCAAAACAATCCCACTTGCAGGGGCCAGGGTGGGGGACAGAGCGGGAAGAGATGAACGCAAGGAAGGGATGGCTAAAAGGTCAAGTTTCAGAAACAGATAGATGGAAAGGGGAAGTCAATCAGGGAGGAGTATTCAATCCATGGAGCTTGAAGGCAAAAGAAAAGCAAAATGTTAACTGAAGACTTTCAGTGAAATGTGGAATGATTTGACAAATACACTGGGCAACAAGAAGTGCTGGGAGAAAGAAGGTAATTCCATTCGTAAATGGGCTACGGAGTATCTAAGCCATTGAATTCTTTTTATAAAAAGTCCAACCATTGGAAAGAAATTGAAGAAAAATATATAATTAAGAAATGTCCTGAAAAAGTACTCAACAATGGCAAGGAGACAGTAAGGGGATTTAAGTAAACCACCTATCTGGCTGCCGTCAGATCAATGGCATAACCTGAAATTGAATTGAAGACCTTGAGACAGTCTGTTCTTGTGCTCTCCACAACTCCTTTCATCTGCTGCTTGCTTGGCGCAATTTATTTTTCTATATCTCATGCACAATAGCTAGGTCTTCTTTAACCAAAGCGAAAAAAAAGATAGGAGTGACTTTGACAGGGATTTATAATGCTTAGGTTCTTTTTAACCCTCAATCCCATTTGTTCCTGCACAGGCCATGACTTCTGCACTGAAGGCCACAGCTGCATGGAGCACTCGGTGTGCCGCAACCTGGAGGACAGGGCTGTGTGCAGCTGCCGCGAGGGCTTCCGAGCCCTCCGCGAGGACAACGCCTACTGCGAAGGTAGCGCCTGCTGCGGGTGGCCAGCTCCCCTGCAGCGCTTGCCGGGCAGGAACGTCCTCGTTTGGGAGTTCTCAAAGTGATGGGTCCATCGAGCAACGTGAATTACGTCGGTAGCATAGTCACCAGCTAAAATAATTATCCAATAACATTTTTCTTTTTTTCTTTTACTGTAATTTGTCTTGAAGCTCCTAGTTAGCGTGGCTGAGTTCTGGAAGCAGAGGCATCTGGAAGGAGAGGCATTTCCTTCCTAGGAAACTCCTGCCTTCTTTTCATGCTGGTGTGCAGATGAATGGCACAAGTCGGGTGCTATCGAGCTGTTCTCACGGTACAGCCTAAGTGCTGGCAGCAGCGTGGCCTTTTACCAATATGCAGCTCAGATTTAACCTGATAAACTGAACACTAAGCATCTGTGAGCTGTGTCTAAGTACTCTCTAGACCCAGCTAATGACTAGATTGTTCTCTGGTGATGCACAATTCTATGGTGGAAGTCAAGGCCTTTTAAAACTGTTCCTTTGGCTGAATTCTGCAAAAATTGATGCCTGCAACTCACTGGAATGAGTAGCTGCATAACTTCAATGGGAATGGTTATGTGGAAGCTTACATCGGAGGATTTGGGGTTGTTTTCAGGAATGGAGAGCACAACTAATTCAACTTCACATACATCTCTGTTTAATGTCTATTATAAGTTCTTTGGTGGAAATTTATTGTCAGAGCAGAACTAAAATCCAGGCGAGGCAAATCCCTTGCCCCTTGTTGTGTCCAAGTGGATATATTATGTGGGGTCGTGCTATCCAGGATATTATATGTTGCAACATCAGCCTCTTGTTATCACATAGTCTTTGGAGATGAAGGTTTAGGCCTGGACCTACATTTTTGGCAACTCATCAGGCATTTCCCTGTTGAAAAGGTCTCTAAAGCAATGAAATTACAGTGAAATCAGGCTCTTTGAGAATGTTTTCCCGCAGCTCTGTTGTTCCTCTGCTGACTGCAAAGGGGGCCAACAAGTCATGCTCTTAGTGATCTGCCCATCACTCAAATCAATTAGAGCCCATTGCTACGTGTGGAACTTGCCAGGCATTTAATAAGCAAAAGGACAGAGAGCTGCTTGATCATCCTGTGATGAGATGCTTTAGATGAGGGCACAGCAGTGTCATATGTGAGATCGATGCATCCACAGAGTAAGTGAATTTGCCTGTTTGTTCAGTACCTGAATCAATACAGCTTTGGAGGAAGGCTTCTTAGCTGGAGTGCCTTTGTATATGACATTTTTTTTTTCTTTTTCTTTTCTTTTTCTGGTAGTACTTATTAATCTGCCTAAGTACATTCAGAAAATTTGCAAAAGTGAATAGTAGGTTGGCAGATATTATTTACTTAAAGAAATGATCACTGTGATATTGCTATACCCGGATGCAGAGAATTCTCTCGTAATGTGTAGAGCACAGGGCCTGATTGAAAAGCAGTTACTGGCACTGGAGTCAGTGCAAATAATCCCTGCTAGGACAGCCCTGGGAGCAAACCTGGAGACAGGGCCCTGAACCAATCTGTGTTATTTCTGAGGTAGGCAGCAATTTCAACAGCTATGAATCTCCTACCAGATTTTCTAGAAACAAACCAAACTAATTAACGTTAAAAGACTCTGGCACGTCGCCAGATATGTGTCTTGGTCTTACATTTCCACTGAGTGCTACTAGTCCTTTTTTTCTGTTGCTCCTCATTAGTTCCTCCTTCTGTATCGGCCTGTCCAAGCTCATTATAGAAAGTACTGTGAATCTTGTAGAAGTCCCTCACACTTTCCTGTGTAAAAAGACAAACTCTGGCAAAGGTCTGTCACTTTTACAGGTTATAAGAGGGCCTATGAAATATGGACTTTATTAGAGAAATTCACATTTTAAGGAATTCTTGAGGTGGGAGGAAAGAGAACAACCAAGAGCAAATATAAAGGTGAGTTTACTAGTAATATTCAAGAGGCAGTAATGATTCAGGAGTATCCCCTTCTTTGCTTTTATAATCTTAGAAAATTAAAACTGTTAAGATGAAGTAATACAAGAAATTTTGATTTATTTTTGTTAATCAAATTAACAGAATGGCTTTACATATTTTTGTGTGTATATATGGATATGTATACATGTATCTATGTTTGAGCATACCCTTTCTACCCTTTCACATTTTCCTACCATTTATTTCAGTAGTTTGCCTGGTCAGATTCTCTCCTAACTTTCTCTTGTTTCTATTCTTTCATTCTTGATTGTTTAAAAAATAGACAAATCAGCAACAACTCAAAACCTCGGCGTATATATGAGGGCAGGGGAGGCTGGGAGAAACTCCGGGGAATTCATAAATTTGACAGTGAATTTCCTTTCACAATTAATTTGAGATGTCCCTGATGAAGACTCCTTTTTGGCAAACCCAAATACACACACCAGTAAGTCATTCACTTCCGTAATTTAGTTACTGATGAAGTGATAATTACTATCCAACGAGAGATCAGTTTTGCTGGTCCTGGAGTCCCAGGAACTTTATGCTCCATCTTCTTTACTGCGAGAACCTGAAGTCATGTCCAGCTTCTCCAGGGAACCAAAGCCCCTCAGTCATTCACTGTGAGGAGATGACAGTGGCTCTCCTCAGTTGCATGAAGGAAATCAGAAGTTTCAGGGCATGATTCTTCTCTTTCAGAAGTAAATGTCCAAAGTAGGTTAGAAGTGTCACTCTGTTGGACATCATCAGGATTCCCTTAGTTGCGTATTTGTGTTCTCATTCTGCCTGGAAAGATTAGCTAAAGGGAATGCATTTGTCCACAAGTTTGTGTGAGAATACCAGCATTGTATTTCATCCTGTACCTGATATGTAGCATCTGTTGTTAATCTTACTGCTTCCCATTGTTTTTAGCTAGGGGCTAAAATTAGATTAGGAAAAAGAAGTAAATTTTCAGAATGAATCTGTTTTTTACAGACTGCAGTGAAGTGAATCAATCTTATAGAAGACAAAAAGAAATAACAAGAAGGATACATCCTGTGTTACATTGGCCAAGCACAAAAATCAACAACATCTTTTCTCTTCAGGGAACTGTCATATTGAGAAGAGTATAAATAAGCCAGAGTCATTTGAAGTGGAGATAAACCCCAGAATATTTAAGCATGAGTCCTCTGCACATGAGTCCTCTCTACATGTGAGCTCTGCAGCATTGTCAGGATTTTGCACCTGGGAAGTTGTTAGGTGTCTCTTTTCTTACATAAGTTCTACTTTGGAAGTAGGATGTGGCAATAGTGTTGCATGTAACTACAGAATTAAGGTTTCCATCTCTATCAGTGCTTGAATGATGAATTTGTCAACTTGGGTTGAGAAATTAATCAAGTAGAAAGAAAAGCTTTCGTTCCAGGAGAGCAGAATGTTATTCTAAAATCTCTATTAAAAAGTCACTAAATACAAAAATGCTTTTTTTCTCTGACTAAAGGCAGTAATTGTCAGCTTATTTCCATTGTTATGTAACTGAAAAATCTAAATATGATGAATTATTGGGTTGCCTTAATGCACCAGTCTGGAGTATAGAGGGTGGGCCAAGGCCTTGGTTGTCTTGGCTCTTATTCAGGGAGTATAACGAAGGATTTTCCTGCTTTCAGTGGAGAGGCAGCAGCAGTTCGTAAAGGCTGGTGCTGGACGTTGTGGCTGCTGCATGGAGCAGCTGGTGCGTGTGCCCGCTGCAGCACGGGAGCCGCGTCATGGGATTTTAACTGCTTCTGCAGGAAGGATGTTCAGGCTCATTCTGTCATCCACCCATGGGCAGGTCCGACAGGGATGTGATTAGGATGAAAACAGGCTGAAACCAACCATAGAGAGGGAGCCTCTCCGAAACTCTTTCAAATTCGTCTGTGCTCAGAGTACGTTGTAAGAAATGTTTTTTGTTACTGAGGACAATCATTTTGCCCAAGCAATAAAAGCATATGCTGTGTTTTGCTTTTTTTTTTTTTTTTAATTAGAACTCAAGGAGATAGTTTTCATAGAAATTGCCTAAAACTTTGATCATTGAACAGAAGAATAAAGCACCTTAATTTTGTTCTTGTTGACCTTAAACTGGTTTTTATTAGGTGATAGTCAAACTAGTGCTTGACATCATAACTGACATCAGTTGAGAGACTGCATGAGTTGGGATATTGCCATTCATTCTTCTCTTCCTGAATCCAAAATTCAAAAATATATTTGTAGTTTCAGTATATAACTCCTCTCTCCTTCTTCTTATTGACCTATTTTATTTAAAAAAACAAATGGAAAGCAAAAACATTAACAGAACAGAACAGTTGAAAGTTTTTCTAAGTTCTTGAAAATCATAATTTGAAAAACGCCGTGAAGAGTTATTAGAAAAATAAAATGTATTAAAAAAATAATGTAAGCCCTCATTCCTACCCTGATGCAGTGCTGAAGGTGGGCAGAGGTCACGAGTGGAGTTTCAGTAAGTGATTCTCACTCTCGGAACACACCGATTAATGACATTCAGCATCCCTTCACTCTCGGGGTGCAGCTACACCACACTGCTGAGCTGGTGTGTAAGGAAAGCCCCCCGGGATGATTTCATGTCTGACAGATAACTATATATAATTACTTGTTTTATCATGTATACACTACCATATGAATTAATTATAATATATTAAATAGTAAGAAGGTGCAGTTTGCCAAGTAAAACATTACATGGTGGCAGACAATATTTGTTTTCAAAGATTTGCTGGGTGATGTTTTCTTTTTTTAACTGTGTAATGTCTGCAGGGTCCCATAAGGTTTCTGTAAGACCGTGATGAAGATTTCGGTTTCTTTCAAGTGTCTCCCTTGCCCTGGTAGCTGTTGAACTGAATCTCTCATTTGAAAACTGGAACAAAGACAGTTTTATCTCATCAGTCTGTCTGCCCAGAGTGACTTTGCCTTTATCTCAATATATTTTATGTCCCAGTGGTCCGTTCTCTTTCTGCATGAAGTAGACAGAAAAAAACATGAACTTAAACAAAAGGCAGAAG